TTTGACTCAAATCGTACCTAAAAACACTGGGCGGTGTATTTTCTGTTATCCTACGATTGTTCTCGACAATGCTAATGTAACAAAGTCAAACATAGCTCATCAATATTAAATAAAAAATAATTAATTAAAAAGTAAGATTCCATAAATATTAATATTACAAGTAACAGAGGTAAAAATATGTAAAAATAATAATTAATAATAATTAAATTTGGGCCAAAAAGAGAAGTAAAACACATGTGAACGCAACTAAATGTCAAGCAGAAAACATAGGAATGCAAATTTAGTCACAAATTTAGCCAACTGACGAAAGAAGAAATAATTGATAAATGATTATATATTTATATTTATTTGTCTTATTGGCTAAAAAAAAAAAAGCCAGAAATAGGTAAAATAATATTAGGATTTTTTATAGCCAAGGAAGAAAATATAATTTTTTTTTTATTTAGCCAAGGAAGAAAATATAATAAATAAATTTTTTTTTATTAAGCCAAGGAAGAAAATATAATAAATAAAGTGTTTTTTTTATTTGCATTTTATTGGACACAGACCAAGTCATTTTATTGGACACAGACTAAACTACAGGGAGGAGAGAAAACAAAGACACCAAGAAAACCTAATTAGAAAGTGTGTAGTTTTGTTTTGGTAGGAATGGCAGCGACATAATGGACTAAGTTATAAGTCAGTGTAAGTAAAATAAAGGGCTGATGAAGATGAGTCGAGGTGGAAACATCTGGGGCTGCGCTCTGCCATCGTCTGGCTCGGTTAAAGACAGATTAAAACAAATCTAGTTATGGTCCAACGGAGGAACATGTGGCTGTGAAATTCTGGTCAATTTGACACAGTAAATGTTTCCTTTTGGTTATTTTCATCCCATTAAAATAGAATTAAAAAAAAGTTCCTGAAGCTAACGACTTACCAATCACGAGAAAGAAAACAGCCGGAAGTTTCTCTTTTTGTGAATTTGTCCTTTAATGGGAGGAGAAACGCAGACGCTGAGGCAGCAGATGGTGCAGCAGAGGATAAAAAAACAGATCCACAATTTATCACGTCTGTCTTATCAGTCCTGATGTTGCTGAGCAGTTTGAAGAAATGCATTAAAATATGTATAAATTTGGGAGCGGCTGCAAACACACAACGCTGCCCCCAGAGCATAAAGCAGTTAACACAGACGCGCCTTATCTCTCACAGGTCATCAGAGGGGTTTTATTCAGAAAATACACAGTTTGTACTCTGAGAGTTCGATAGAAAGAGAGATCTGGTATCTGCGCACTCACTGTGACTTGGAGGCTGTTAGCGTAGCTTAGCTAATAGCAAAAATGGAAGTATCTGTTTCACTTAAAGGTAGGGTATGTAGAAATTACCTAAAATATACAGTAAAAAAGATACTTTCCTTCAGTTTTTTTAAAGATTCCTAGAAGTGAAAGGTGATTTAGGTTCAGGTTACACGGCGACGATACAGCTACACATGGCGGAGCTTTAGCGCCGATTCGTCCGTGTGTTTAGATAAAGCGTTGGGGCCGGAGAACTGCGTTCTCACTGTATACAGGGTGTTTTTCTATTTCTTTTTTTTTTTCTTGTGATAAAATATATAGCACTGGAAAATAAAAACAATGTCAACAATACAAAAAAAGTAAGCTACAAATAGTACAGCTATAAATATAAGTATACATGCAAAGTACACAAAACATAACCTAAAAAGTACAACACTATAGTTGATAAGCAGAAATACTATAAAAACCTCAAATATATATATAGCAATAATTACAAATCAAACAAACAACATTTTAGTATCATGAGTGAGAAGATGGCTAACTGTTAGCTCCCGAAAAGTTATCCAAAAATACTACAAAATTAAAAAATTAATATATACTGTATGTTTGACTCCACAGCGGCAGAATAAATATAAGAAAATATAGGATAAATAAAAAAGAAAGATCATTTTATCCATAGTTGTTATTTTACAGCAACAATACAAACAAATAACATCAAATATGAAATGTAAGAAATGAGCTGCGGACGGTGAGACATTAAAGTCCTCTTCTGTACAGTTGTAGTTTTCTTCTATCGCGGTGTTAGAGCAGAAGGAATCAGACATCAGACCGGAGCTGTTTCTCCCTCTACGAGCAGCTTCACAGTTATTGACCAGACTTAAGTATGTGAGAAAATGAGCAAAGGAAGCGGAGCGAGTCTGCTGTGGATGAGGAAAAACAACTCTTGAAGAAGGAAACTTGTGCGAGGTGGTGACATTTGAACAACTAATGAGACTAATGAGAAGAAAAACATGAAGATTTCTTTTTCTGTAAACAACAAGAAAAAAAAAGCTGAGAGAAATAAGAAATATCAGAAAGTATTGTTTCAAACTTGCAATTAGGATTTATGTGCTTGGTGTGGCAGGAGAAGGAAAATGTTTAAAGATTTTCTTTTTTTTTTTTCATCTCCCGTTTCATAAGAACCCGAGTGCGTGTAGTGTTTGTGCTTTGATGAGAAGCTTGTGCTTTGAAATGCAAACACCTAAGAATTTAATTGTCTAAAACCCAGACTCTGGAGGAGGATAATGGAGGAGAAGCTGCCGAAAGATCTGATCTAACAAGAAACGCTTTGTGAGGACGGAGGGAAAACGATGTAAAGGGATTTAAATAAGGCAGATATTTGGATTTAGTTTGTTGACGTTCCCTGGGATCTGCACTTCCACCTCAGAGTGGCAAGAAGTTCCAGAGTCAGGAGAAACTCTGGCTAAGAGCTAGTGTAACGAACCAGCTAGCCGCGCTAGAAATGGTCAAAATCTTCCTTGTTATCCCAAATTCCTCAAGTACTTGTACGATGAATAATGAAAGCGAGCCAAAGGGTGAAAAAACAAAAACTCTAAATGTTTGTGCACCACCGTCATATTACCTTTTTGTACATTCCTGCCACCTATAGGCTGGAGTGTGCATCACTGTAACCTATATGCCACAAATTAGGGAAGAGAGAAATGAAACATTTAGTTTTACTCAACATTTTTGGTCTGTAATTAATGGATCAAAATTAGCTACCGCATTAGCACATGTTGCTGCTAAATATATCTCCACCTGTTTAAAACAATACCTGTACTCAACAGATCACCAAAATAGACTCTGCCGGGGTTTGTGGTTCTTGGCGTCGTGACAACTTCCCCTCCGCCTCTCTCTGGAGTGTGTGTGCTAAAATGGAGTCTCCCGATGACGCAGCCCAGAGAACAGGGCCCTAATTAATCACGACCAGCAGACGGCCGCGAGTGCAAAAATTGTGAGAGCAAAGCGAGCATCAGCCATCATCACGCTGACAGATGCTACGGCTGTGTCCGTCGATTCTCTCCTGCTCCGCACGACGCCAAGAAGTATCATACCCACGCAGGCTAAAGTACAGGCAGTGCACTGATTACACAGGAAATGAAGTTTGCATACATGCAGTACGAGCTCTGGGAAAGGTGAGTGAATAAGGGAACCAAGGATAGATGTCACAGCAGTAGTAGTAACTTTGAGTTTTCATCAATAAAACATCAGGTAAATATCGTGTCCTTTCAAAAAGGACCCAAAATTCTCAAAGCTGACGAACACCTTTGGGAATTTTTTTTACTTTTTAATATTTGTAAATTACAATCCTATTTAGCGGAAAATGGGTGGGAAAAGTACAGTAGACTTTTGTTTAAATCATTACCTATGTTTTTCATAATTTTACCTCCTGGGGGGGGGGCACAGTAGCCTTTTGTTTAAATCATTACTTATGTTTTTCATAATTTTACCTCCCTTTACTCACTATAACAACTTTGCTATATTTTGTCTAGTGTTTATAAAATTATTGGCCATAGTTTTGGTATTCACCTTAAAACGTAAGATTTAGCCGATTATTTTCCAAACTAATCTCAGCCATGCTTTAATGCTGTTACTAATATTTAATCCATGATCACGATAGATAGATAGATGGAAGGATCGATGCATGGATGGGTGGATGGATGGATGGATGGATGGATGGATGGATGGATCACATCATCGTAGAGAGCGGTGGTCGTTTGGACCTGACTCCCTCTGGAACTGTCTTCTCTACAGAATGGAGCCTGTGTGTGTATGGGGGGGGGGGGGGGGGGTTTTTTAAAAAAAAAATTTTTTTGGGGGGGGGGGGTGGACG